AATATTAGATGACGTTTGCTTTATTATTAAGAAAAATTCAAGCATATTTCTGTGTAATGTTATTACACAGAATATGCGTTTATATTAATTTCTAAACGAAAAGAAAACTATTTGTCGTTATAACTCGTTGCACTCAAAATAATTATAAATTGTAATAGTAATAATTATAAAAATGGAGCTATTAACCATATTTTACCATGCAATTACGGTCACTATACCGAATATTTTTCTCTCGGAATACTTTTGGAATTTTTAAACGTACGCAGACTCATATAATAATTAAAGGGAAACGCACAGTTACTTAAGTATCCCAGAACGTGAGACGAGGTGGGCGCGTGCTGCAGTAAGGGGATGATGCTGCGCATCATCGAGATCTTTTCTATTCAAGTTCATTACTGCGGAATAATCGGCATGGTATGTAATCGGCGGGCAGAGCGGAAGTAATAAAAGGAAGGGAAAATAAAAACAAAAAAGGATAACTCGGCCGTCCTTAAAACATGCGACGGGTCCGCCATGGCAAGTCAAGAAACCTTTGATAGCAACGCTCGATAGTATAGCGATGCTGAGCGCCGGCGCCTTTCCCTCGCAGCCCCATTGGTGCCGAAGGCCCTCTCCACACGAGTGCCCGCCGCCGGGTTTCCTTGGAAACGCTTCGTTCACGCTGATGTCTACCCTCGCCCACAGAAAACCTCTTTCAATTAGGCAGCCTGCCGCCCGACAGACCCACGAATCCCGGTCCGTTTTCTCTCCCGTTCCCTTTACTTTCTCTCTTCCTTTTTTCTTCTTTTCCATCTTTTTTTTTTTAATTTCCTCTCGCCTGACGTTTCCCGCTTCGCCGAAACGGACACGCGCCACTATAGAGTCCTAGGTAAAGAAGTCACCGAGTGCACCACGGGTGACTTTGAAATCACTAATTCGTTAAACAATAGGAAAGTGCGCGCCGAGGTCAATATGTCACGCGAGTCTGCAGAGAAAGAACGTTTGGATTTTTCTGATATTCCAAAGTTTAACTAAATACAGCTGTAAATATATTTTCGTTGGACCATCTTAATTAATAATTGCTCATAATAAATAGAACGCTCGAACATAATAAACAATGTGGCAAAAAGTTTTGATATTCTAATCATCAACTGGGTATCTCTAGTTATTTTGATGGTCCAAATAAAATTATTTTCAAATCTATCTATCTAAACTTTTAGATAGATATTTTAACGAAACCTTTCTTTCCATGCGACATGATAAAATTTACGTCGAGAAGCAGACATTGCAATAGAAGAAAATATCGACTTCTTAAAAATATATATAACATATTATGGAATAAGTACGCGGGAAAAAACGATATCGGAATGAGATTAGCATGTGGAAAAATAATTTATAAGCTGCGCAAATTAAAATTCACGAATCGCTGCGAACTTCGAGGTATATCTCAATTGATTGCAGAAGCTATCTTCTTTTTTACGTAACTAAGATTGTCTCGATTGTAAAGTAGCCTTAAAGTACTCTTAATCGACGATATCTTGATAACTGTTCCCGTCATGCAGACAGACAGACAGACAGATTTTGTTACACAGCAAACAAGTACGGGAATACGCGTCATATCCGGCCAATCGCATGTGCGAATTTATAAATGCGCACGCGAGAGGGAGCGTGGCTGATTGGTATGCGGCACAACGCCCAGCTTGACTGACGCCTCCAAGTTGCGAATAAAATTTTCATGAATTTCTATTAACTCCGTTTTTCTAGACGTGCCCCGGAGACTTAAAAAAGTTCTGTCAGCTGATAGCCCGCGGGGAGGTCAAAATCGCCCTATCGCGCTGGTCAAATCCGATCGAAAAGATAATTTTCCAGCTGTGTGATTTTTAAATTAATTTAACGCATAAAATTATCGTCAAAATGTAAAGATTAAGAGTAATTAAGGGTAATTGATATTTAAGAATGTTATCCACATTTTCAAAATCAGTTTCAATGTAATGCATTTCCTTTCGATCCTCTAATCAAACAAAATAATATCAATCGCAAGCATAATAAATTGGAAAACCTTAGTTTATAATTTTCTCTATTAATTTTCATCACTTTTAGTGACCGCTCTTTATTGTTCTGAGTTTCATTATTGCGTAAAATTTTTCATTTTAAAGCGAATAATGCTCCTCCGTTTTCAAAAGTAACAAAAACAGTTTTTCAGAAAAAAAAAACTATTTTTCAACTTGACAGAAAATTAATAATAAACTAAATATCAGCAAAAGAATATGTTCTTAACATGGCCAAATGTTATTTTTGTCACTATCATTTCATAACTCTTAAAAATCATCCTTTTTAAGCTGTGTGACAACCTTGATGGTTTTTTTAACCTTTTAAATTGTGATCACGATTTTGATTTTGAAAACTAAGTTCATTTTTAATAATTGATAGGGTAATGTTTATTTAACTCGTTCATGGTAATAACTTGAAAATCAATTTTATTAATTGCATTTCTTTTGAAGTAAGGGAGCAATATCCCATATGCTAACTTTCCTTTCAAATCTTTAATCAAATATGCGCTAATAATGCGTCCAACAATCAAACGAAGAGGTCGATAAACTCTTACATAAATAAGACAGTGAAATTCAAGCCTTTTGGTTTCATAAATTCTGAAATTTCCGTCAGTTTCGTATTTAGATAAACGGCGGAAATCACGAAAGTATTCTTGCTGTCAAAAACACATCATACTTGTTAAATTATAATGCGGAAGATGCCTCAATTTACCGTGTCTTTTTTAATTTGATCCGACGTTTATTGTTGACGCGTCTATTTTTAATTTTTATCGTTAATATGCGCTATTTTTGATTCGTTACACCTCTGCATATTAAGACAGTACAATTAATTCTCTCTTATAAATCATTCCTCTAAATATTTCATTCCTAAAATAAAACTTATCTCTGAATTACATGTTAGGCAATAACGAATTTAAACTGTAATTATGATAATTGATAATAAATCCATATATACACGGAAAGAATGATTTTGCTGAAATATCTACAATTTTGCTAAAGATACAGATTTAAAAATAATTTTGTTGAACCATCAAAATAATTATGTAGGAATCTAAAAAAATAATAATGATACAAAAATTTTTTATATTCTAGCAGTTAGTTTGAATTTCTAATAAAACTATTTTTAGATTTGTATATCCAGCAAAATTTTATATCTTTCAGCAAAATCGTTCTTTCTGTATAGAGTGACTCGGAGAGAAATACCACAAGGAGGAAGACGTATTTTGTTTGTAGCTTTTTTTCATAGAACGCGCGTTGAACATTTTGATTATGCACAAGCGTGTAATAAACTGCGCAATTATCGACGGAAAATGTTTGTGTATCAACATCGAAAAAGATTTGACGAAATACAGCTTACTGTAAAACCGAGCAAATAATATAATTTTGATTACTATTTCTTAGTCGTCATGTGACTGATATAAGTTATATAATTTGTAATAGTTTTATATGCATAAATGTTACACTGACATCTTCCTGTTCAGACTTGAGGGAAAATAACAATAAGTATAAAACAAATGATCTTTCCTAATTAATACCAACATTAAAACAATTATATAAATTAAAATTTGGAATACTTTATATAGTTCAAATTATTTTAAGTTAATCAAATGCTGTTTAAACAAATAAAAACTGCAGATAAGTAAAACATGCAAGTTTATTGCGTCATATCATTTAATTTATGGCATCTTATCCGTATGTGTAAGAACAAGATGTCACTTTTCCAGGATATATCAATTTTTTCCAAAATATCAAAAGTATTAATCTATATAAATAAAAAAAGGTCTCTAGAATATAAATATTTCTTCGTAACTGAGTTCAATGACATTAAGAAGTTATATGACATTAAGAAAGGCTTAAATGCGTCTTCTCTCAGTCTTCTTACATCTTTTATATTGAAAAGACTTGAATAGATTGATACGTAAGAGAACAGCTTTTGAGGGGATCGTGGTTGAAATTTCTGGATCTTTGATCTCGGAATTCCTGATGCCAGGGGCAGGACTTGCGAGCTTCCGCAAAGTTTCGCGGTCGCCTTGCAACCAAGTGGAACCCACCAAAATTCGGAACCCCGCAGGGCGAGGGCTTAGCTACTGCTCCAAGTTTCACTTTAATCCAAAAAGCCGAGGTAGGCCGGCACAATTGATTCTACCAAAGTTCCGGTACTATCTGAGATACATTTCTGAGGAAAGCTATGAGGTTACCGTATGGTGAGAATTTATGATATCTTTAACGCCTTAAAACATTTCTAAAATGTTATACGTCCGTGTCACCAAATTTGTACAATCAGAGACATTATCTTTTCATATTTATAAATTTTTATGAATGTGTTCTTTGGGTCTTTCTATGTTCGGCGTATTATTGTTTTGCTCATGCAAAAATCTATATTTTATGTAATAATATATATATATATATATATATATATATATATATAACAATAATAAATCACTACAATAACTGAGACACTTATATAAATGAGTCGGTCATTGCACAAAGTTGTGCGCATATGTTACAAGAAATTAAATCTAATTTTCTGATGAGGAAAAGATAATAAAATAAGTTAATAAGAGCATATATAAGAGTCAAGTACAGAAATTGATGTGCAAAAACAAATAAGAAATTGAATGTGATAAGGTTTCAATTATACATAGCATTACATACGAGTACGTTAAAACTTTCAAATCAATTTACATTTTGGCTACATTCTCGAGTCATCTTTAAATCTTAGAAACACTTTTGAAAGATAATTAATTTTTCCGATGAGTCGTATCATAAAGAGTTTGATCAATGTCCTCTTTTTAATTCAATAGCCGATTTAAATAAGCGTCCAAACTGATTTGTAACTATTTTAAAATGTATAGCAGAAGCTCGCACGTAATTCTGGCACAATGTGAAGTCACGCGATAAGTTCTCTAGCACACGTTGAAATTAATCATTTCGTGCCATCGGCAGTGTGTACACTTTGACCACACCTACCTGAACGCGACTTTCCGTGAGGCCGATCCTTAGTGCTATTTCCTCCCTCAGAAAAATATCCGGGTAGTGAGTTTTGCCGAAACACCTTTCGAGCTCGTTGAGCTGAGCCGGAGTGAAACGCGTCCGATGTCGCTTTTGCTTCGCAGGTTTATCATCACCTTGCCCGATCCCCGCCGCGCTACCTAAAATGCAGAACCATGGTTAAATAACGTAAAGAATTGAATTTTCTCCGGTTACTTTCAGTCCTACTTGTTAATAAAAAAAATACGGTCTTGGCTATCGGTTACCATATAAGTATAAAGCACTCTCAAATTATTCCCTCCAAAGAGTACTAACAATAATAAAAGTCAAAAGAAGAATAAAATAATTCAATTGCTGTCGAAATAAAATGTATTTCAATAAAAATTTATTTAGTTTTTAAATTTATTTTTCGTTATGTATAAAACGTTTACGTCAAACTTTCAGGATGCTTTATATACAAGGCTACATTTAAAAGATAAAACCAGATTTTCTCTGCTCCATATCTTCTACATTTTGAAAAATAGAAAATAAAATGTACGTTGTGTGTATACTCTATTTATTTCAAAATTAATCGATATAAAAAAATCATCTATATAATAAAAAGTGTAAAATCGATCAGAGTAATATCACAAGGGTAATATCAATAAGGTTTTTCCTTCTTTTCAGATCGCATTGTAATAATATCAAGATATTTATTTAATAGACAGTTATCAATTTTATTTTAATTTCAATAATTGTTTAATAAATATCTTTTTAGATTAATATTTATAGCTAATGGTAAGATATTCCATAACCACTACGCTTATTAAATTTAACATGTACTGCACATCGATCAATAGCTAAATTTTAAACTAATTGTATTTAATGCGCGTTTTAATCAATATTTTCGTTTCTAAGTTTTATTTATATAACTTCAATGTTAACGTGACGTGTGAAAATGACATGGTTAATTTAACATCAAATCCGGAGTAATAATTTTGAAAATTGATATTTTAATTTAAGATATTGTTCTGCACTGAAAAAAATTTCTAAATCTTAATTGATCTATTTTTATAATATA